TTGGTGGGTCGCTGTTGGGTCGCGGGTGGGTCGCGCGTGGGTCGAGGGTGGGTCGCGGGGTGGGTCGCGGGTGGGTCGCCACATGGGTCGCGGGGTGGGTCGCGGGTGGGTCGCGGGTGGGTCGCGGGGTGGGTCGCGGGTGGGTCGCGGGGTGGGTCGCGGGGGTGGGTCGCGGGTGGGTCGCGGGTGGGTCGCGAGGTGGGTCGCGGGTGGGTCGCGGGTGGGTCGCGGGGTGGGTCGCGGGGTGGGGGTCGCGGGTGGGTCGCGGGTGGGAAGACGACAACAAACAAAAACAAACGAACAAACAAACAAACAAACAACCAAGCAACCAAACAAACACACACAAACAAACAAACAAACAAACAAACAAACAAACAAACAAACAAACAAACAAACAAACAAACAAACAAGCAAACAAACAAGCACACAAACAACAACAACGCAACAACCATAATTCTCACACGGATCCCCACTTCAGCCACGCACCCAGGGCAAATGAGTGACCGTTCGGCCCCCGCACTCTGATACACATACATATATATATATATATATGAAGGAGAGAGAGAGAGAGAGAGAGAGAGAGAGAGAGAGAGAGAGAGAGAGAGAAGGAGGGAGAGAGAGAGAGAGAGAGAGAGAGAGATCGGTATTCCCATCTATGCCGCCGGCGCTCGGTGCGCGCACGCCAGGGTGAAGGATGCGGCAGATGTGTGCGGAAAGGACATGGACGTTTTTTCGGCGACCCGTTTCCTGCAACATTGTGCCCCGTTGGTCCGCGCGGCACAGTTCCCTCAATGGCATCTTGGCGCAGGCTGTCCGCGATGCCGGCTACGCAGCGCTGCTGGAACAGGTGGTCCCTGAGTTCGGCCTGAGAAAGCACCGCCGCGATGGGAGAGTAGTGCTGGAAGAAACTGTCCTCGATGAGAGAGAGAGAGAGAGAGAGAGAGAGAGAGAGAGAGAGAGAGAAAAAAAGAGAAAGAGAGAAAGAGAGAGAGAGAGAGAAAAACAAAAAGAGGGGGAGAGTTGGAGCATGATGTTTGTATTCCTTTATCCACAGAAACTCACATCGGGCCCCCCTCCACGAGATCTGGGGGGGGGGCATCACGCCGACGCCCGCCTGTCCAACACCCCCCAGGGCAGCCCCAAGACTGGCCGGGAGCAGCCAGCACAGCCCGAAAGCGCTCCAAGGTGCCCGAGATGGCGCTTACATGTGATTTGTGGGGGACTTCAGCGTTCTCGCCTTAAGTCGGGCCTGTCCCCCTGCAGGGGAAATATTCAAACATGGCAACACAAATAGTCTCGGAACGATTTTTTGCATATTTTTGACCATTTCAGAATACTTTTTGACTACTTCTTAATTTTCCTACAACATCTCCTGTAGGAGGACACGCCCGACCTGACCTTCTTCGGTTTCCACGCTCCAACACAGCCCACGAGGCCCCCCAAGATCGCCCCCAAACGGCCCACTTGGGGGCTTCCTGGGAGCCTAGTGGAGGCTTCTTGGGGCAACCGGGCGGCGGTTCGGGGTGGAAGGCTCGAAATGTCCGTGGGGGTTCCCCCGCTGGACCCCCTCTTGGGGCCGTCGCCGGGCCTTCCTGGGCCGTCGCGGGGGCTTTTTGAGCGGTCTTGGGGCCCTGTCATCTGGGTCGTCGGAGAGCCCTCTTGGGAGCCTCTTGGGGCCGTCTGGGGGCGACTCATGAGGGTTCTTGGGCTGTCGTGGATGTTGTGATCGCAGGAGAGGCGACTGTGGTACAGATGCAGGTTTTCTTGTGGAGTCGGGGCGATCTTTGCTCTCTGAGGCCGTCTTGGGGCGCCTCTTGAGGGCTTCTTGGGGCGCCTTTCTTGGGCCGTCTGGAGGCCAGCGTGGGCGTTTTCGATCGATCTTTCGGCGGCTCGTGGCCCTCTTGGACCGTCAGGAGGGCCTCTTGGTGCCCTCTTGGCCTGTTTTGGGGCCCCCTGTGTGCCTGTTTGGGGCGTCCCAAAACGGCCTCAAAGAGCAAAGCTCGCTCCACTTCCGGGGGATAATTTGCATGTTTAGCACATTCGCCTCTCCTGTGATCGCACAAGAGGCGAATGTGCTAAAAGTGCACGTCTTCCTATGGGACGAGGTTTGCTTTTTGAGGCTTTCTTGGGACGCCTCTTGAGGGCTTCTTGGGGCGTCCTGGGGGCCTCTTGGGCCGTCTGGAGGCCAGCGTGGGCGTTTTTGATAGATCGTTCGGCGGCTCGTGACCCTCTTGGACCGTCGGGAGGGCCTCTTGGTGCCCTCTCTCTGTCCCCCCGTGTCGCGTTCCGGCCCTTCCCGGGGCCCCCCCCCCTCCGATTCGACTGGACCGGGCCCGCATCGGCAGCAGTTCTTACTGCGGCTGACATGTTCGATGTTCACCGCGCGCGCACAGGGGAACGGGCGAGAACCCACGTGTGTGTGTGTGTGTGTGTGTGTGTGTGTGCAAACGGCGGGCATGTGCTCAAATGCTGGATTAGTGATTCTCGCCTAACCTTCGGCGTATGCCGCCACCGCGCCCGGGCTGCGGGTTGGAGAGGCCGCGTGGAGGGCGGACGGGGCCTCGTGGGAGGCGCCTCGGGGGCGTCTTGGAAGCCGTTTGCGAGCCTCTCAGAAGCCTGAGGAGTTTTTTTGGGGGCTTCGCGGAGCTCCCTGGGAGCCTGTTGGGGGCTTCCTGGGGCATCCGGGCGGCGGGTCAGAAGGCTCGAAATGTCCGTGTGGGCCCCCCCTCTGGACCCCCTCTTGGGGCCGTCGCGGGCTCATCCTGGGCCGTCTTGGGGGGGCTTTGTGAGCGGTCTTGGTGCCCACTCCCTTGTAGGTTGCCGTTGTATATACATATCTATAACCGAGTGCGGGCGATAATAAAGTACCCCCCCTTAACCCCCTCTTTTTTTCCTCCCCGACCACAGGGATTTATCTGTGGGGAAGGCGCGGAGGCCGAACTTTATAATCCACGGAAAAGTTGTGGGGATCGAAGTTGCTATCATATCATGTTGATGAGCAACAGCATCAAAAACGCTGAGCATGGCCATGGTGGTCTCACCCCACCAGCATCAGCAATCACGAGCGTGTGGCAGGGCTGTGGGATTCTCACCAGTTGAGTTGGCCCACGTTACGACCGTGCGGCAGGGTCATGGGATTCTCATTTTCTTAGCTGTTCCCGAGTCAGGAACGTGTGGCAAGTAGCCACGAGCCTCGAGATCGCTCGAGTCAGGCTTCTGTCGTGCGCCTGGTTTAACCTCCTCCTCCATCATCGTCGTCATCATCATCATCATCATCATCATCATCATAACTTACCTTCTCCGGGAACATCCTTTATCATCCCCGTGGGAACCGCGAACTTTATTATCCCAGGGGGTTTATTATCGCCCGCAGACGGATCTATGGGTTGAGCCCTAGGAAGATGCTATTGGAGCTGGATCCGATTCCTCAGAGATTTTGCATGACCTCTGGGTCGACCTTTCCATATAACTTCATCCGACCTGGATGCAGCCCTGCTATGATTCTCATGGAGCTGTAAACCCACCCCACACGACGGGCGGCGACGAGGCGATGACGGGGCGGCGGGGGCCGCGAGCACGGAGCTTCCAGGCCGATCCTGGCGCCAACATCGCGGAGTGGATTTCGTTCGGACAACGATAGGGTTAAGTTAGGCCTGTCCCTCTAGAGAGGGAATCTTTATACATTAGTAAACAATGAATCTGGGACTGTATTGTTTTGTATTATTATCAGTATTGTTGTTATTAATTTCTTGTTTTATAATAGATAATATACGATTACCAGTATAGTTTTTTGTTATTTATATACACGTATGTATGTATGTATGTATGTATGTATGTATATATATATGTATCGCCCAAAATCCGCCTATATGGGGACAGGCCCGACCTAACGATAGGATGGGCCCGGCATGTCCTGGAGAACTTTGTTCCGGATTTCGAGGGGCATTTCGTGCGGATTTTTCTCTGGCCAGGAGGGAGGACCAAAACAAACCCACGGGAAACATTCACTTCGATTTTCGTTCGCACTTTCTGGGTCTTGCGTTGACAGACATCCACGCGAGAATCCGCTGCAGCACGTCTGCAAGGTCGGTGCATTGAGACCCATAATCGGACCCACACGACGGGTGGCGACGCTGCGGCGACGAGCGCCGACGGTGAGCACGGAGGCGCCACACCGACAATCAGGGCCAGTTCCGTGGAAAATGCGCAATCTACCCTAAGTGCAAGCATTGTTTTGGAAATGCGACAGAGAGAGAGAGAGAGACCAAAACAAAGAGAGAACGACAGAGAGAGAGAGAGAGAGCGAGAGAGAAGAGAGTGAGAGAGAGAGAGAGAGAGCCAATGAGAGAGAGAGAGGTACTGTGAAAGAGAGGGACATAGAGAGAAAGAGAGAGAGAGAGAGAGCGTAGAAATAGAGAGATAGAGAGAGAGAGAGAGAGAGAAATAGAGAGAGAGAGAGAGAGAGAGAGGGAGAGAGAGAGTGAGAGAGAGAGAGAAAACAACAAAGACAGAGAGATAGATAGATAGAGAGAGAGAGAGGGAGAGAAAGAAGGAAAAAGAGAGGGATATCGTGATTTTCGAAACAACGCCCGTCTCTAATGCGTGTTGAAGCGGTCCAACCCCCATGCCCCAAATTCAACGTGTGGTCGACACGGGGGAGTGCGAGTCGTTTGGGAAAGCAACCTCCACATTTGCAAAACGCGGCCTGCTCCCTTCAATGAACACTGACCTTGGGGGGCGCGGGGGCTCTTGCGCCAACTTCTAGTCGTATACCTGGGAGTTTGTTTTCCGAAAGCGCCAGGAGAGAGAGAGAGAGAGAGAGAGACCGAGAGAGAGAGAGAGAGAGAGAAAGAGAGGGGCATGGAGACAGCGAGATGCGGGAGCTGCGCCCGAATGGCTTGCCAGAAGCAGTGCAGTTCACGCGAGTAGGGGGGATTCTTGGGCTCGCGCGCGCCTGCTGTCGACCCTGCCGCCCGCTCTGGCAGCCCGCCTCCCCCGAGGAGGCGGAGGACCGCGGGCTGCCCTTGGACGAGGACGCCGTCTTGGTGGGGGGGGGGAGCGCGTCGAGGTTCCTCCTCCTGCTCCTCCTCCTGCTTCTCCTCCTCCCCATCCTCCTCCTCCTCCTCCTCGTCCTCGTCCTCGTCCTCCTCCTCCTCCTCCTCCTCCTCCCCCTCCTCCTCCTCCTCCTCCTCCTCCTCCTCCTCCTCCTCTTCCTCCTCCTCGTCCTCGTCCTCCTCCCCATCCTTCTCCTTCTGCTCCTCCTTCTGCTCCTTCACCTCCTCCTCCTCCTCGTCCTCGTCCTGCTCCTCCTCCTCCTCCTCCTCGTCCTCGTCCTCGTCCTGCTCCTCCTCCTCCTCCTCCTCCTCCTCCTCCTCCTGCTCCTGCTCCTCCTCCTCCTGCTCCTCCTCCTCCTCCTCCTCCTTCCTCTCCTATTCTCAAGGAAGCGCGAACATGGATTCAGGCGCGCGAGTCAGCGACGGGTCCAGTTTCCGCACGAAATTGTCGCGCTCCGTCGCCAAATCGGGCGGCACTGGCTTTCATGTTTCGGGGGGGTACTTTGCCGATCCGTGGATCTGGCGCCCACGCGGCGTATCCACGGATCCGTAGTCAATATTGGCGTGTGCCCGATCGTTGGTTGATGGGCGGATGTAGGGTGCCCCTTGGGTCAGGAGTTGGCATCGCTCGGACGTGTGCCTTTTTTCTCGGCCAGGACCATCGAGAATGATCTTGTATCATCCAGGGGAAACGACACGCACGACATCGAAAAATGCACGTGGAATGGACGTCCGAGCGATGTCAGGAGGAGGGACTCGCAGAGCAGCCCGTGTCGACTGCAAAGGGGGGGTGATGCTGGGAGGGCGGGACGTCGCGGCCCTCTCAAGCAGTTCCTCAAACCACTCGCCCAGTCGTGGCCGCGTGCCCCGAGTCAGGTCAGCGCGGAGAGGGGAAGGGACCGCTGATGTATCACAGGGCCACAGCACATCGAAGGGCTGGCCCAATTTCGGGCCATGGTGCGTCTTGTCCCAGCCGTGGGCGGAACCTCCAACCCTGTGTTGTGAGAAGAACAAAGCTGCATAAACAGAAGCTTTCTGAGCTCCGCGCGGATTTCCTGGATCGGCGCCAGGCCCCCCCCCCCCCGGCGGCGTCTCCGGCGCCGCCCCTGGCGCGCTGCTCCGCGAGCCAGGGAGGGGTTCCAGCGCAGATTCAAGAAATCTGCGCGGAGCTCTGAACTCCAGCCCCGTGTGTAAGCTGCACTCTGAGACGGACGGCGCCGAGCCACGCACTCACGGACGAGGGGGCGCAGGAGGACTCGCAGAGGTCGTCCGCACAAGATAATGTCCCCGAGCCACATGCCCGTTGCCAGGCTGCGGAACGCATGCCGAGTGCGCTTTGTGCTTGTATCCTCGCTGCGTCCCACTCCACGTTGCCTTGAAGCGCCAACCTGTAGGTTTAGGCCACTGGCCAGCTGTCTCTCGGCGTGATGAGCCGCAGTCGTGGCTCCGCCTCCTGCAACGTGCGAGGCGTCCTGGCAAGCTCAACCGGCAAGCGCCTTCGATGGTCAATTCGTCGTGTTGGACTTTGCACAGGCGTGCGTGCACGAATGTGGCTTGAGACTGCAATCACTGCTTCGTTCACGCTGTTTCCACGTGGGCTTGAAGCTTGTCCTCCTGTTCAAAGCACACCTTCTCTCTTATTGTGAGTTCGTTGAAACAAGGTCCCTTCGAGGTCGGAAGGGGCTCGGTCGCTCCTCTTGGGGTAGCGTGTTTCTTCGGTGCTCCTTCGGATCTTACTGCCGTTCCTCCTGATCTCATGGCTCGATCTGGAAACAAGTCTTTCGTCTCTGTTTTTGTTCCCTTCATTGTGAAGGCCTTGCGGCCAGCGCCGCCGACCCTGAAGCGGGAGCCCGAGGCTTGTGGGAGGTAAAGTATCGAATGGGAAAGCTTCTCCCAGCCAGGGAAGGGTGCTCCCCGACAGGGGGGGAGGGGGATGGTCACGACCTCTCGGATTCCCCCCGGGTCCCCCCCCCTGGGACTCCCCCCGGGGACCCCCCCCCGGGACCCCCCCCCCCGGGGACCCCTCTCCCAGGACCCCCCCCCCTGGACCCCTTCCCAGGACCCGGTTTTTGCCGTCTCCATGGACGGCCCTGGAGTCTGTTTTGCAAATTACGGTTTCTACTTGTCCCGACGCAGGTCCGACGTGATTCGGCACGGATCCGACGCGATTCGACGCAGATTTGACACGAAACGCTGGCGCTAGGGGACAGACGAGCCCCCCCCGAAGGTGCAACGCAACATGCTCCGCGTCGGATTTCTCCTCTCGAACCTCTTGCGCTCGTCCTGCTCCGCCTCCGATCCCGCTCTTTCTTTCTCCAGCGGGACTCGAGTCCGAACCTCGCTTTTGCATCGATCCTCGATCTTCGACCGTTGATCCATCTTGGATCCTTGCTCCTGGACCTTCGATCTCCCGTCGATCCTCGATATTCAAGCGGTCCTCGGATGGAATGGACATTTCTGGACTTGCTCCCCTGAAAACGTGGCTGACAACGACGACAGAGCACGTGCCCCAGCGAGCCTTCTTCCTCCGCACTCGCTTGCCAGACCCCTTCGCTCCGTGCAAGAACCTATGATGGAAGGTAAAATTCTGCATCGGCGCTGCTATTTTCACACTCGATAGCGGGCTTAATCTATGCTGATCCGGCCTAGTCCTGCTTAGTCCCGTTTGATCCGGCTCAATCCGGCTTTTACCCCGGGCTCAGTCAGGCCTAATTTGGTGAAGGTGCACCCAAATCGGGCTTTTAACCGCCATTAATCGTTCCAGTGAAGACGTCCCAGGAGTTGCCTCCGGGAAGAGACACGACGGGCGGCTTCTCAGAGTCACCAGCCCCTGGGAGCCCTCGCAGGGGGGCCCCGGGACCGCCCAGTAAGACGGCCCGGCAAGAGAGAGAAGCCCGCCCCAGGGGGGCGGTCGAGACGCCTTTGGTCACCGAGCGCGTTCCATTACTCGCAAAGTGCCTACTCGCAAACGTCCTAAAAGCACATGCCCGCTTTGATGTAATTTACCGTAGGTCCTCCGCGGAGGGTCCAGGCCATTGGCGAGGAGTTACTCTGCGAGTAGTGGAACGCGCTCGTCGATTATGGGGGGCCGACGCCGCGAACTGGAGCACCTCTGGTCCGCCTCGAGTAGGGGATCGACTGCAGAGCTTTGGCTGCCTCGATACGCACGTCTTCTGGGCCTCCTGGATGGGGTCGGAGCAGTTGGGTCGGATAATCGCGCCGCATCGCCGATGCATCGGCGATGCAGCTCGATGTGGAGCCCGATTTTCTCCACACCGACGTCGCCGACGCATCGCCGACGTCGCCGATGCATCGCCGATGCATCGCCAATGCATCGCCGATGTATCGGCGATGCGGCGCGATCCTCCGACCCCATCTACTCCGGCCCCATCTAGGAGGCCTCTACGTTTTGAAACGCAGCACGTGCTGTGGTCAAAACGTCCGTGTTAACACGACGCGTGTTGGCTCAGCATGTTGGCCCACGTTTTGACGAACGCGTCGCGTCGTGCATACGTTTTCAGTCCGCGTTCTGAGCTCCGTACCAATACGCTTCGTGTTGCGTGTTGCGTATCGGGGCGGCTAAGCTACAGAGCTGATTTACCCCAGAATGTTTTTTTGTCAATCGAATCGTCAACACAAAAATGTAGAATCTTCGCAGATCTACGAAAGTTTTAGGTATATGTTTTCGCAGATGCGAGGAACAATCAATTGGGGGTTACATCAATCCTGGGGTCGATCCCCTATAGTCAACCCGCATAGTAAGGGTGAGCGACTTTCCGAGATCACCCTTGCATCCTTCCCCTTCGGCCCATCCTTGGCCGCTTTCGCCGGCTGCGCCACGCTCGCAAAGTGTCGACGTGGCCCTCAATCGGCACGAACGAAATGGGTACGGGAATAATGGGTACTGCCCAACAGTTCCTGTTCAATTTGGACAGGACTTGCTGTCCACGCCGCCGCGGCCTGTGTCCATTCGAGACAGGTGGCCGCCTGCCCAACAGCGGCCGCTGTTGGTTTTGGAATAACATGTGTTGTTCGGCATTGTACCATTTTTTCCGTGCCCACTTCGGGCGTCCAAACTCACAGGCCTTTGCACTCTCTTCGTGCGTCCTTGTCATCGACTGCCTCCCCCAGGAGATCTTCCTCTCCGCCATCGGCGCCTGCGGGGCCAGCCTCCAGTGGGAGTGGTCGCTCCACCTCCTGGAGCAGGCGGGCGCCGCCCCCGCGCCGCTGCTGCTGCTGCTGCTGCTGCTGCTGCTGCTGCTGCTGCTGCTGCTGCTGCTGCTGCTGCTGCTGCCGCCTCCTGGTGAGCGCTGCTGCTGCTCCTCCTCCTCGGCGTTCGGGGCTGCGGGTGTCTCAGATCCCCGCGCGCCGTGTCACACAGAAGTCACGACGGCCCAGTTTTGGGGCGAACACGGAGGGTGGCCCCCTTCCTCCCCTCTGTGTTCCTCCCCCCCTCCTCCTCCTCCTTCTCCTCCTCCTCCTCCTCCTCCTCCTCCTCCTCCTCCTCCTCCTGCTGTCCTCCTCCTCCTCCTCCTCCTCCTCCTCCTACTCCTCCTCCTCCTCCTCCTCCTCCTCCTGCTGCTCCTCCTCCCCCTCCACAATTACTCAATATGAATACTACTCTCCCTCTTCTCCTGATGACGGTTTGAAAGTGGCCGACCCCCCCCGCGTACGGTTTTTTGCACAGGTTTCCCCGGAGTTGGGTTTTCGCCTGCATTTGTTTCAAAATGCTGCTCTCGCTGAGGCGCCGGCCTCATTTTCGGGCCCCGCTCGTTCCGAATCGTGCTCCCGCTGCAGCGCTGGCCTCATTTCCGTGCTTCCGCTCGTTTCGACTCGTGCTCCCGCTGCAGCGCTGGCGTCATGTCCCGTGCCATGCCACGGCATGCAATGCAATGCTAGGTTGATACTACGCTTTGCGGTGCTCTTCTACGCCATGCCATGCCGTGCTCTACAATGCATCGCGTACCCTTTCGGGATCATTGCCCTGCTCGACATCCGACTGTGCGAGTAGAGAGGGGATCTGCGCCATGGTAAGGGATGGGAGGGAGGGGTAGGATGTCAGATATGACGCGAGCGCACCTAGCTTGCCCTCCTCCCCTCCCCCTCCCCTCCTCCCTCCTCCTCCTCCTCCTCCTCCTCCTCCTCCTCCTCCTCCTCCTCCTCCTCCTCCTCCTCCTCCTCCTCCTCCTCCTACCCAGCCCAACCCGAAGGCCTCAGTTTGCCCTCGATTTCCAGTGTGTGGGGGGGTCGGGGAACACTGAAAACATGCACGGAACCCCGTACCCCCCCCAATCCGAAATTCGGGTCAGATTCGGGGGTTCGGGTTGGGTTGGGGTGGTTTGGCAGGTAGTCAGGGACGAGGGTCAGTTACATCAGCATCGTGTAACCGATCCCTATCCCCATCCCGAGCCCCACCATTTTACCACCCCAGTTGGTGATGTACCCCTCGAATCCCGAAGGGGACAGCCTATTTACCATCTAGGGCGGTAAATCGGCCGGTAGGGCCCAGGCCACGCCGTCGGGGATAGGGCTCAGATAAACGATGCTCAATGCAAACGCAGCTGAAACTGGAGCCAAAGCCGAAGTGCACAGAAAAATGGAAAGGGCTGCAGGTTGGGTTGACAGCACATCGTTGAGCGGTAGAGGAAAGAAGAAATCCGAAAGAGGAACGCGAGAGAAAGGCAGAGAGAGAGAGAGAGAGAGAGAAATAGAGAGAGAAAGAGAGAGAGCGCGAGAACGGGGCCACAGGCACCACCGAGGACCCCCCCCCCAGCCCCCGAGGGTTCGAGGGGGGAGCTTCGGCAGCATCGGCGGCCCCCAGACGGGCAGTCCAGAGCGGCATCTGGGCGCGCTCTCCCGCGCTCCGCCATCCTCCCCGCCGCCTGCTCGCGCGCCCCTCCGCCCCGTGGCCACGGAGGCAGCCATCCGGCGCCCGCAGGGACGGTGCACTCGTGTGGCAGGCGGGCGGCAGCCTGCGTGGCGGCACCCGTGCCGGCGCGGGCCCTCGGGAGCGACGCGGGCGCCCGCGCTGGCCTCTGCAGGCCCTCGGGGTGGGCGGGGGGCGTCGCGCGGCTGCTGCGACTTCGGGCCGCCAGGCACGCCGGCTCGGAGCGGCGTCGGCGCATCTTGCCACCGCGGACCGAGCAGATCAGGCGCCATGGGCCGAGGGGGGGGGGGGCAGGATCTGTCCGCCCGAGGCGGTGCAGGCAGCTGGCGGCGATGCACGTCGGGCACAGGGTTCGATCAGCTGGTGCTTCGCGAGTTCCCAGTCACTCCCTTCTCCCCCTCGAGAAGTGGACAGAGAGACATTGCAACAGTTCGAGCTGCGGATCTGTCCACCAGTGGTGCTCTTAGTTTGTATGCTTGCCGACTTTCCCGGGCGCGTCGTCGCCTCGGGGATCGCGTCAGCTGTGGGCCGATGGAGCCAGCGCCTGTCTGCGAGGCGTTCTCTGCGAAGGTCCCCGAGCACCAAATCCGACAGTCTCTGGGGTTGGTCTCACGTTCGTGCCAAACCACACCCTCGCCGAGTCTGCTGACGAGGCAGCAGTGTTTTGTCCTATTGCAGGCGGGGGAGTGGCCACGCCCAGCCCGTTCACAAGACCCACACGTCAGAACACGGTGGTTGGAGGCTTCAGGCGCAAATCAAAACCTTGCCTGCTCGAGCAGCAATCCATGCACGACGATCGCATGATTACC